TATACTGCAATGCCACACCAGGACTCCAGAGGATACCATAAAGAATCATTAGTTTTGGAGCCACTATAAAGAAACAATAAGGAGCTCTGGTAGCATAGTGGTTACGAATCAGGCTGAGAACCGCAAGGTCAGCAGTTCGAAACTACCAGCCATTCCGCAGGAGAAAGATGAGACTTTCTGCTCCCATAAAGATTTACAGCCTCGGAACCGACTCCACGACACACAACAATAGCAACATAAAGAAAGAATAAGTACTAGGCTGCTAACCAAAAGGTCAGCATTTCAAACACACCAGCCACTTACAGGGTCACTGTGAGTAGGAACTAACTCCATAGAACTTAGCAACAACACAGGAGACCTGGCTTCTGGACTACATCTCCACCAAAGCAGATACATCATCTTAGCCAGGTGCTTGACCTTTTGATGGGGTTCCCATACCTTCAAGAATTAAATAAAGGCTGTTGATCAGGTGGTGCCTCCTACACACCCACACCCATTACCACATGGCTTGTCTAGTGACTTTGAAAGCTTTGATTTACATAAAGGAGAAGTTGGGTTGTGAGTGGCAATACCTCTGGCCGGCATTGGACTTGGCTTTCTGGCTGGTCTTGAGTAACACCTCTGACCTAGAATAGATGAAAAGGGCTAGTCTGTGTCCAACTTTCCTCCAAGCCAAGAAAGCTCAAATGCAATCCCTTTAGCTGTTTTGGTAACTGAATCCACTGAGCAAAGGATGAGTACCCGAAGCACTGGTACCTGATGTGTTTGTCCAAGTGTGGTCCCCAGATCAACAGCATTCACATCACCTGGGACTTGTTAGAAATGCGGAATCTCAGGCCTCAACTCAGACCTACTGAACCAGAAACTCTCATCAATGTATGTTCTGGAAAGTTCTCTGGGGGTTTTGATGCTACCTAAAATTCAGGAAACACTGGTTTGGAGCATCAGAAGGTGCTCAGTTTAGCATCACCCCAATCAGGAGGCACTCTTGCCCCCCAGTGCCCATTGAACTGCATCTCCTCAGTCACTCTTAGAAGCTCTTTTCTTGCAGGTAATAAGGCAGGAGTGAGGCTCTGTAGCAGGAAGTGGCCCTAAAGAGTTAACACACCTATGATCTAAACAAGGGTCTGACTTAAGAAGACTTCTGTGTGACCACTGCTCTGTGTAAGAGTCAACAGGGAGTGGTTATTGCTGTTGTTCATTGCCGTCAAGTTGGTTCCAACTCATAGCGACCCTGTATAGAGATTCTGAGGAGCAGCTGCTGGGTTTGAACTGCTGCCCTTGAGAGTCTAACCGACCTTACGGTCCAGTGCATTGTCTTCCAGCACCATACTAGTATTGGCCTCTCATTTTTATTTTGGTCACTTGATCAAATATAGTAAGAAGAAACCTGACGTTGCATATCCATGAATTTCTACAGCCTGGCACACAGAACATACTCAGGTGGCTAACGTACGAATACTTATCTACCAGGCAGCATGGCCGGGGAACAAAAGCACTGTATTACAGGGCATGTCTGTTGTCTGGGTCCTGGTTTGACCACTAACTAACTGGTTTTGTGATTCTGAGTGAATCCCTTCATCTGATTGACCTCACCAAGCCTACCTGTGTTTGTTTAGTAATCATGCCTTGCAGCCTCACTGATTTTGCCTTGGCATTCGGCTCCAGAATGACGATGAAATTCAAACCAAGCCCACTACTGTCAAGTCACTTCTGACTCATAATTGGACACATAGTTGAAGCAGACTGCCACACCTTTTCCCTGGAAGCAGCTAGTGAGTTTAAACAGGCAACTTTTAGGATAGCAGGCAAGCACTTCCATCACTGTACCGTCAGGCCTCCTCCTGAATGGCCACTTGTGACTTCAGAATGGAGAGAGGGAATGGTGGTGGTGGTTTTGTGCCATGGAGTCAGTTCTGACTCATAGCGACCCTGCACAGGGTTTCTGAGGCTGTAAATCTTTACGGGAGCAGAACGCCTCATCATTCTCCCGTGGACCAGCTGGCAGTTTCGAACTGCTGAGCTTAAGGTTCGCAGCCCGATTCGTAACCACTACGCTACCAGAGCTCCTTGGAGAGGGAGTAGGGAAGACCAAACAGTGATGCAATACAACACTCCTTTAAGTCCCTTCCTGAGCTGGCTGTGCCAATGATTGTGTTCTGCATAGGACTCAGGCTCGTCCCTCAATCTAAATACTAGGTGCTAGAATGCTTTGGTTTACCTGGTTGTCCTGGAGACCTTCTAATCCTGAAGGCCTCACTGTCACTGACTCCTAGAAGAGGCTGGTCTTGAAACGTAGACCTCCGTGGCCTAAGATTCTACAAAGTATATCTTGAGCCAACTGAAGTTGCCTCTAAATTTTTGTATCATTCTCAACTCTGGAAACTTTCTTTCTTCTTGCTATCTAGTTCTTCCTCTTGCTATCACAATCTCGAGGCTTCTGCCAAAAAAGCAGATACAAAGTCCTGCCAACCCTTTTGTTTCCCCTGAGGTAAATATGGGCTTTATAAAAAGTTTTCTCTCGTTAAATGTTGGCTTTCTGTGCTGAGGGTTGTCTCTTGTTTTCCCCTCCTCTTGAGTCCATTGCATAACAATCTTACGTTTTAACCTTTTGCCAAATTCTGCACTTATCATTGTTGGAAGTTCCTACAAGTGTTTGAACAGGTAACTTCTACCTTTGAACCTCTATTGCAACAGGTTCAAAGGTTTCTGAGGAGTTGGTTGGCCTCTCTCAGGACAGTATGCACTAGTTCAGGTGTGCCTCTGCCTCAGGAACAGTGGGAGGATTGGGCTGCTTGACTGTGGTGCTGAACCAGGACAGCAAGCTGTGAGGGACACACTTTCCATACCTGGGAGGTACACACATTCTTGCAAGGTAAGTTGCTCTCTGTTTTATGTATCTATGGAATCCAGAGGAGGATGAAGGTGGTTTGAAGGTACAAAGGTGGGACGTGTGTCTATTCTCAGCCTAAGGTGAAATAGGCATTTGGCTGAGTAGCAATCACAATTTACTTGTGTGGGAGGCAAATCAAGTTAAATGTATAGGTGTGTGTGCATATATATTATAATGGGAAAGTAGGTAGAGACATCTGAGCTATCCAAATACTTGCAGGAATTAGAATAGAAGAGAAAGTTATTAATTCCACTAAATGCAACTAAAATGGAGGACTTAAAAGCCTGCAAGGGTTAAAGACAGAGACATGGTGAGAGGATATTGGGGTCTACTTCATTTTCCATCCAGAAGTTTCTCTAGTGGTGAGGCTGAAGGCACATGCATCAGAAGGTACTGAGGACAGGTTCCGGTTTGGAAAGGAGAAGGAAAGGAAACATTTCGCAGACGTCCTGCTAGGTGCCAGGGACGGAGCTGGGTATGTGGCACCTATCTCCTCAGCTCTGCACCTTCTATGGGGGATCAGTCCCATTTCACAGACAAGGAATGCTGCTCTGAGCTGTTGAGTACACTGTTGGTGTCCCGATCAGTCTGCATGCTGCCAAAACTTCCGTTATTTCCTCAACACTCAGGGCTACCACTCACAAGCACTTAGGGTAGGAGAAGACTATAACTCCACTGGAATTTTAGAATCTCTCCAATCCCCCCTTCCACTCCCCACCACTGCCATCAAGTCCATCTCGACCCCTAGCAACCCTATATTTTTACAGGAGCAGTTGGTGGATTCAAACTACCTAGCTTGCACTTAGCAGTCTGGTGCGTATCCTTCAGCATCACCAGGGTGCCTTTAGCTCATAGAGTGAAATAATCATGCATCGTCTTTTGGCCCTGAGCTCTTAGTCAAGTTGGTAAAGGGAGGCAGCACACAGTGCAGGGCAAGGTGAGTGTTTGGCACTGCTTTCCTCCAGAGGAAGTGGCCTTTGGGGAGCTGAGCTTAAACTAAGCAAAAGCTAAGTGTTTCTCTAACCATGAGATGACCTAGAAGATAGAATGCCAGAGTGGCTCCCCTTCATCTCCCTACCCTTTGTCTTTCTCTCGTGTCCAAAGTGGGGATCCTGTGGACCAAGACCCAGTCCTTATGTTCTCTGAGATTGTGGCATCATTCTCCGGAGCTGTTTCAGTTGGAGACATCTGGGCCTCCTGTCTGTATGGTCCTCTGTAGAGAGTTTGCAAGCGAGTCTAGTAAAGAGTTGGGTTCATGCTGAACTTAACTAATTGAGTGCCTTTTTGAAGAGACCAAGTTTCAAGGAAGTGCTACTTAATTCTAGGATGTCTGGGAAGGAAGGGGCAAGGGAACAGGTTGTTTCTGACTCCAGATCCAAGAATGGAAGCTCCACTGCCTCTCTGCATGCTATAGTCTTAGTGAGGTGAAGCAAAGGAAATCATAGGCCCTGCTAATAGCAGCGCTTGTGGGTGGCAGAATAGATTTTCAATGTAATTTCTGAGGTGCGAAAGGATGAGTAGGCACATTGGAGTGAAAGAAACAATGTCAGTTTATTTAAGACCCATGGTCCCTGTTGTCCTCTGTGTGTTCCTTTGTCTGTCAACTTGTCAGAACTGCTTTGGGGACTGAGAGGTAGTTGCGAGCTGTTACTGGAGTGAGGATACCACAGCTGGTGAGACTAGGCTCTGCTGGCTTCTGGGCTATGCCTTCCTTCTCTGGACTGTCCGAAGGCTGGATTTTCCGGTCCTGGAAATCCAGCAGGGAGGGGGTGGCCTCTGCTTTGCCGACAGGAGTGATCAGACGGGACAGCTCCAGTTATCTCAGTCCTGGGTTTTGTCTTGGTTTAGAGGAGGCAAGGATGAGTTGTGCTCAGGAAAACTAGTGTTCCCTTCAGCCCTGAGGGGCTGGAGTTAAAGGCTTTGAACAGGAGCCAGGGGCGTTCCGGCGGCTCTTCTCCTCCTGGTCAGATCGCTTCCACTTTCAGTTGTGAACGAAAAACCAGGAAGTGGAGCCCGGTGAGCACGTTAGAAGGGCCAGCTATGACCTGAGTCAGAAAGCGCCAAACAAACCGAGGGAGGAGGCTCCGGGCTGGGGTTCTCTGCCCACATGGACACTCGGAAGCCTCCCCATCCCTGGACCAGTCAGGAATGAGGGAAGTGGGCCAGGGACTCCAGAGCCAGGAGGAGCTTGGAGCCTAGAAGCCCCATTCACAGGAAGCACTGAGAGATGCTGCCCCCTCCCAGGGTAAGGGGGCCGCCTTGGAGGGTGGGATGCACCAAGGGGTCTTGTTGGCCTGCGGGAGGTGTCCAAGGATGCCTCTGGACTCCTAGTTCCAGAACCTACCACCTGTTGTGTTCCATCTGCACACCAGTACTGTCCTGCCCCAGGCTCTGTGGGACCCTGTCAACCCTCTGTGGGAGGAGGGGCAAATGGCAGGGGGACTGGGAGGCAGGGCTCAGACTCCCTCCTCTTGCCTCTCTTGAGGGAGGTGACCCTTAACAGAGTCTCTTTCCAGGGTAGGGAGGGGGTGCTCAGGCATCTAACATAACTCCCCTCAGGTGGGCTGGGCTTTGCCTCAGCTTTCATGCTGAACTTCATTCTTATGATAAGGGCTGATGGATAGATGGGAGATGGCATGGCTTCTGAGTGAAATTGGATTACTTTTCAGGCATAGGGCCATAGGTTAAGACAAGAAGTGACTTGGGACCTGCTAACTTTTATGGGTATCAAACCTTTGCATTGGTCTGAAGGCAGGATGAAATCTACACCACCAGTTTGTAGGTCACTGATGTTCTAGAACAGAGGCAGAGTATTAAAAAAGAATGGTTTTATAAAAATAGAGTAATTGGTTTTGCTAGATCTCTTCTTATCTATCCTCACATGGAGTTACTCTGAAGCGGCCCCCTCCACCTGGCAAGTATCTGAGGAGAGTACAGAATGTTTTGTAAGAGAAGAGACATGACATCAAATCTTGTAGTCACCACTTGGTGGTGACTACACAATAGAAGGTACAAAACCCTAAATAAAACAAGTCACAAGTACAAATACTTATAGGACAGTTGGGTAAAATAGAGACAGATGTACAGTAGATGGGAAATAATTGGATGTGGGTGGTGGGCATGCTGGCAAAGTCCAGGGCAGACAAACCCACGAAATGTGTTCAAATTTAATGTTTTTAGAACATTGTCCAGACCAAATAATGCTTCTGTGAGACATTTAGCTAGGTCCTGACTTGAAGTGGTCCTCTCTCTTAGTTCAGATGGTAAATTCATGCGCGCGCACACACACACAGACACTATTAGTCTACCTTTGAGTACCTCAGTTCTAAACATGCACAGTTGCTACAGGGAGACTGGAGCTGGAGGAGGAGAGAGAATTGCAGGGGGAGAGGGAAGAGAGAACCACTGAAGAAGCACTAGCTGACAGTGGGTATTCTTCTATTTAATCCACATAAACTTGTAAGGTGGATGGTTTCCTCATCTTGTGGTTAAGCAGGTAGCCTCTGAGCAGATAAGCCTCTTTCCCTAGGTCACAAAGCGAATGATCACAAAGAGGGATTCTAGCTGCAGTCAGTCTGAAGGTAAAATCATGCTGTGTCCCCTCGTGTGCAGGGTTAGCCTTCCTTCTGATTTCCTGGAGTGTGTAGCTTGTAAAAAGATTTTCATTCAAAATGGCCTAAGCAGTTCACAAATGCATTACATACATTTCAAGGTTGGCGCTTTCCTCAAACTGGAAATACTATAGCTAACGTTCACTGAGCATGCTCTCTGGAGTAGCACTGTGCTTAGAGCATTAGGGGATTTTTCTCTTCTGGTCTTTGAAACCATCCTATGGAGGTTGGTTAGAGCTGAGGAAACCAAAGATTAGAAGTAAAGGAATCAGGCATATTATGAAGAGATTGGAGCCGGAATATGAACTCCAATGGTAAACACTGCCTCCGTTTTGGATGAACTTAGTGCAAAGTCCAAAGAATCAGATCTGGAAGAAATCTCTCTTTTGAAAGTCCTCTCATCTCCAGGTAGAGGAATTCCCAATTCAGGACTTGACAGCTTTTTAGAAACCAGGAAGGAAGTTTCCATTTTTCTCTGTCCCTTGTGCCTGGCTAGCAGATGCACTGACTCAGCCTCAGGTGACTATAATGATGGTTACAGGTTAACGTGCTACATATACACAGCCGAGAGCGTCAGCTTCATTCCTTCCCTTATGTGACTGAGCATCCTAAGGCTAGACGTGGCCTCTCACTCCTTCTCCAAACACAGTGTCTAACACTTACGAGGCTTAACTTAATGTCATTCGAATATACAGACATGATAAATAGGGACTTTGGAAGGTCAGGCAGCACATGAACTGGCTATGTCATATCAGTCCGTTTTGGGGGAGCTGGTAGTAGATGTCTGGGTCTTCTTGAAACATCCAAACCTAAGATTTGTGAACTTGTGTCTAGCTTGAGGCTGGAGGGAGAATGATGGGCCAGGATTCTCCAAAGATGAATCTAAACAAAGAGTCATTGAGATCCTTGGACATAAGTTGAAGGGCAGTTTAGTATAAAGACCATGAGTCTCTCTTCGCTTCGAGACACCTCAGAATAACTAATTACCACTGAGTCAATTCCAACTCATTGAGACCCCATGTGTGTCAGAGTAGAACTGGGTATCACAGGGTCTCCAGTGGCTGATTTTTCAGACGTAGAGCTTCAGGTCTTTCTTCAGAGAAATTTGTTGTGCAACCCAATATTGTGAATTCCCTGATGTTGACAAGGAGTGGAAAACTTTGATAATTGGAAGAGGGGAAAGGGTGTCTTTACTGAGGACTTGCCATGTTCTGGACAGTGTTCTAGAAGCTCTGCACTAATTACCCCTTTCATGTAGTGACTACTACGCCACCCCTTCTTGTGTAAGGGAAACGTGATGCTCGGTTGTCCCCAGGACAACACACTTGGTCATTGGTAGCGCTGGACAGAACTAGATCTGGTGGACTGTCAGTGGCCTTGAAATTTGCCCTCTGGAAAGGAGACTATTGGCAATAAAGCATGTGGTTTGTACTTTGAATGTCGTGGTATGACTCCTGACCATCACTCAGAACACGTAGTTTAAGGGCTGATTCTGCCAGATCTGAGGTAGGATGGCCTCTTCCATCACCCTGCTCTTATCCTGGCGTGGGTGATGGGGGACCTAGTACTTTGTCCAGCCTATCTTTTTACGGGTCCTTTTATCAAACCCAGTGAACTTCTGATACTGATTCTTCTTACCTGAGTCCTATCAGAATTCACTTGGTCAGCAACAGGCTCGGAACACATGTCGGGAGTGTTTAATGAGACCAGGTGTTTCTTAGGGTAGGGCTGCTGGACTATGATTCATTGGAAGCATAGAGGTGGTTCAAGGTTGAAACTGTCAATCTGACCTCCAGTGGGATTGGTCGGTGCCTGTCCCTGACCCATGGGTGACTTAACAGCCATCCTATGCTAGCTTTACAGGCTGATTTGAGAGGCTTTGGGTTTGACTTAAGGAAGGTTTTCCTGATAAGCCATTCAGCTGATGCCCCAAGGCTGTCTGGTGTTTGTAAACCAAAATGACTCGAGGCTCAATGTTGACAACGGGTCCTGGACTATGTCTCAGTCATCCTTCTTGAGACTGGTTTTCTTTTCTTTTTTTTCCTTTTCAACTGGAGATGACCTCTCCATCTCCCTCAGGAATGCAGCTTCATAATTTCCTCTCCCAGTGTCCCATGTGTCCCATGTCAGTTCTACCTCCGTCTCCACACCGAGTGTTCCCTTCCCCCCTCCCCACATACTCTTGAGCACTCAGTGTCCTTCATCTGCTTAGTCTCCATAGCCTCTCTCCCCTCTGCACGCTCATGCCACATACTGAATCATTCTACAAGAGTGTGATTCATTTTGTTTTATTGTGGCAAATACACGTGTAATAAAACCTTTGACATGTTAGCATTCTTCCCAAGTACAATTCAGTGACATTGTTTATCATGTTGTTCAACTCTCCCCTTTATCTATTTTCAAGTTTTTCCATCTCTCTTAACAGAAGTTCAGTGTCCCCTAAGCCATGAGTCCCTCTCTCCTCCTCCCTCCTGTGTGCCTTCGGTAACCAACCACTAACCAACTTTGGTCTCTGTGTCTTTAGTATTAGATGGACCCATGAATCCTCAGAGAGGAGGAATTCTGTCTTTGTGTTTGTCTCTTAGCACATGGCACAGTGCTGGGGTCTGTAACTAAGATCGTCCTGGTGGCATATGGGTTAAACATTGGGCTGCTAAAAGCAAAGTCAGTGATTCAACCCACTAGCCACTCCTGGAGACAAAAATGAGACCGTCTGCTCCCATAAAGATGTACACTTTCAGAAACCATTAGGAGGAACAGTTCTGCTCTATTCTCTAGGACCACTGTGAGTTCGTATCAACTCCATGGCAATGGCTTAGTTGCTGTTGTTAGATGTGATTGAGTCGATACTGACTCATAGCGAACTTACGCACAACAGAACGAAACGCTGCCCAACTCTGCACCAACCTCACAAGTGTTGCTCTGCTTGAGCCCATGGTTGCTGCCACTGTGTCAGTCCATTTTATTGGGGGTCTTTGCTGACCCTCCACTTTACCAAGTATGATATCCTTCTCCAGGGACTGGTCCCTCCTGATCATATGTCCAAAGTATGAGAGACAAACACTGGCCATCCTGGCTTCTAAGGAGCATCCTGGCTGTACTTCAACAAAGGTTTCTTTGTTCACTTGTTCAGTGGGTTCAAGTAAATTAAAAGTGCAGCATAGAGGTATCACCTAACACACGTTTCTCCAGTTTGCTCCTAACCCAGGGCATGTCCCATACAGCTCTTGTCCCAGAGGATCGTAATTGCCTGTGGAGATAGCTTTACCCTCAATGGGACCAGAAACTCCAAGGAGTGGCTTCCTCATGCTGAGTACACTGCCTGACACATGGTGGTGGTGGTGGTGTGTTCTTGAGTCGGTTCCAACTCTTAGCAACCCTGTTTAGGATTTCTGAGGCTATAAATCTTTACAGGACCAGAAAGTCTCAGGTTTCTCCCGCCGAGCAGCTGGTAGATTCGAGTAGCACAACACATAATCACGATGCTTACTAGGGTTCCTTTGCTATATGGTTGTTGCTACTGTTAAGTACCATCGAGTCGGCTCTGACCCATAGTGACCCTGTATAGATTTTTCAAGGAGCAATGGGTGAGCTTGAACTGCCCATCTTGTGGTTCAAACTGACTTTGCAGTCC